TAGGTAGATAGGTAGATAGGTAGATAGGCAGATTGGTAGACAGGTAGATAGGTAGATAGGTAGAAGATAGATAGACCGATAGATCGATAGATCAATAGATCAATAGAAAGAAAGAAAGAACGACATAAACGTAGCTAGATTGTTAGATGGATAGATAGGTAGATAGAGAGTTTTATTCAGCACACTGCTTTTAAGTATACATCTATGTTTGCATATATGATGTGTAGGGTTACAACTCGGTTCCAAAAGCCTTTGCGACATGAAGATCGGCCGGGATCATCCGAGTGGCAGCCGCACGTTAAGAAATCCGAATCACCAGTCGGGATGTCTTTTGGGATTCCTATGAAACACTGGGGCTATAGTGGGATTACCCTCTGGTAAACATACAAGCAGCTATTGAAAATTGCCATTTATAGTGGATTTACCCATTAAAAATGGTGTTTTTTCATAGTTACGTTAGTTTACCAGAGGGTATCATGGGATAAATAAACCAACCATCTAAGAATTGGCGAAGGATTTCGCAACCATCCGCAGTAGTTGGGATATAGTTAGGCATATAACAGGAGATCTCATTTTATGGATCTTGGCTTGTTTGAAACTTAGGTATGCCACCAAATTGCGAATGCAAACGGGAACGTGTTAATAAACCATCAAATTATTGGGGCACCCTATTCTCCAACAAATCCAGGTGTTTGATTGCAAACCTCAGCAAAACTTGCAAGCTCAACCCTGTAAAGGCTCTTCCCAACCCGTAATCAAACATGGTTTGCTGGAACATTTTCGATTTATAAGAGAATTTGCCATGAACACTTCGATGTACAGGGGATTTCCCATTGTCATGTTTGATAACCCCAGGGTAGCTCCATACTCCTGTGACCTTCCAAGGACTGTTGCTGACATGGTGCTATGGGTCAAAACCCATGGACTGAAATAGTTTAAATTTCTGGATGTTCATCCACCAAAATATGGGACAATGATCGGCTTTGACCTATCTCATAGAGGTTTGACCTATCTCATAATGGTGAGGTTTGTAACCCAGGAAGTCTGGTTGTTATGACATCCATTAACATCCATTAACATCCATTAACGTCCACTAGTGGTAAATACTGGTGATTTTGCAGCTGACAAATCCTGTCCAGGAGAAGGATCGTGCCATGGATCAGCGCGGGTCCACCAGAAACTGGTTCCGTTCTGGTGGCACTTTGATTGGGGCTTGTCGGAACATAGGATATGCGGGGAGATACCTCAAATCTGAGGGTTAATGAGGGTTAATATCATTTTCCCTACTCAAATCTGGCTATAACTTGGGACATACCAAAATTTCGAACGCACTTTGATGGGTTTTTGATGCCTTAAATTTAAATCTATCATCTTATGGGTGCTTTAAATCTACCATCTTATGGGAAGATGGCGGGAGAAGCTAGACATCATCCCTTCGATGAGACTTCAGGGTTGACAACATCTGTGGCAGATGTCATTGGAACATGTGGAGATCTAGTGATAAAATTGGAGATCTTCTGCAAAAGCTGGTTGGTGGTTTCAAACATGGCTGGATTATTTTCCATTTCATATATGGGATGTCATCCTTCCCATTGACGAACTCATATTTTTCAAGATGGTTATTGCACCACCAACCAGAAAGGATCTTGTGATTTAATTTCATTGTCTGCGTGGCTAGACATGCAGCCATACGCAGCCCAAAAGATGTGGAGAAATACCACAAAAAAAGCCGCTATGGAGATTTAGCATGAGGTTTAGCACTTAGGGATCTTAGGGTTGGCCGTGATGATGATGAATCATCGTCACCATCATCAGCATTGTCCAGATGCTTATGAATAGAGCCCGGGCAAACCTCACAAAATGGTGCCACCCTAGTTATCAGTTGGTTTATAACCCCATTAACTGCATGTGGATACATTGTATCATAAACCCCACTTATGAGAGTTATATATAAGTTAAAAACCAGGGTTTTGCAGTCATAACTCGACTGATTGGGCAAACTGTCAATGATTTGCCTTGAGAATCACTGTTGATAAGCACACGTCATTGAGGAAAACATTCGAAGGCTGCATCGATTTTGTTGTCTGAAAATGATGGAGTCCGGCCCAGGTTACTTGGACTATATTGGATCATCATAATTTTCAGTATAACCACATATATCCAATATATATATATATATATCCAAATATAAGGGGTATCATCAAAATATATCAAAATGACCATGATGATAATTTTGAGGATATATTTTTTGTAATCCAAATCATTTTTCCCATATCTTCACTGCGTCATTTGGGTATACCGGTATACCCCAACTTCATAACTTCGACCCATCCGACCATCCGAGGCTGAAGGCGCTGGGGAGCCTGAAAGCTCAGCTGGGAAACTGGGTGAGAGTTGCATCTGGGGCAGGCCGCGAAGCCGCGAAACTGGAATCATCCAACTAAAAATCAAATAGAATGAGAACTTTGAAAACTATATAAGTTAGATCCCTCATATGACTCATATAATATGCCATGTCTATGGAAAATGCCAAACATATTCAACTACAATGAACATCTCAGCTTTGGATGACACACTTCACAGCATGTCATGGAAATTCCTCGGGTTCGTCCGATCATCCCGATGGACCCCTCCTGTTTCAAATTTTGTAGAATCATTTGGGTAAATCATGGTGAATGTTCCAGTTTTACTGGGTTATTCATGGTCATTCTACTCACCATGAAGTTTTGTTTCGGATCTGGGTAAATCATGGTATATTATAACTGGAATAATCACTGGATTTTTTTTTGGAATAATACCTTAAGGTTAATTTTTGGATGATTTTTATGGAATAATAACTGGAATTAATTGGATTCATCTTGCGTATATTTTTGGAAAATCATCCTCTTTTACCCAACCTTTCAGGTTAGTGAAAGATCATAATTTACCCAGAATCATCTCACGGGAATCAACAATTAAACATGATAGCAGCAGGAAATATCAGATATATAAATCTCAGCTGATCAAATTTAAGTAAAACACTGACGAAAAATATAAATAACATCTAGTAACCATCTAGTAACCATATAATAATTATAATATAAATTTAAGTAACCATCTAGTAACATTCAAAATAAAGAATCAGAATCTGCCAGCTGGAATCGGATCATTTTCTCCGTCAGGTTTGATTTTTTGCTTGCAACACTGAAACCACTCGAATGTTGGACATTCGGGGAATTCGACCTGTATGTTTTCTTGAGATCATACTATCACAATCTATCACACACCCACACACACACATATATATATATACACATGCACGCACATATATTTGCCTAACAAGTCAAGGGCGCGAACATCCCCCGACCTAGGCATGGAAGAGAAGAGTAAGATGGAAGCCTTGGCTCAACGCCAGGGAGCCTGGTGGGTGGGTGGATGGCGACTGGAAAACCTCGAAATGTGCCAGATTTTTTTTGGGAAGAAACATGAAGAAAACTATGACCTTTATAATGAATCTACATATATAATGGGACTTAATATATCTTAATATGGACTTAATAGATCTATAATTATACTGGTTGGTGGTTTGGAACATGGATGGATGATTTTTCCCATGATATTGGGAATGGAATGTCATCATCCCAACTGACGAACTCACTCCATCATTTTTCAGAGGGGTAGGTTGAAACCACCAACCAGTCATTATTAACCATCATTAACCATCATTAATCATCATTAGCCATCATTAAATCACCAGAAAAATCACCATGAACTGAGTTTTTTTTTTTTGGCTCAACCACCAACCAGTGAATCTGCATATTTTGGATCTGGGTTTTGACGGTTTTTTGATTCGCCAAGTCTTGGATCGAACAAATCCCAGCCCTATATATATATATATTCATTTTTTTTGTTGCATCCCCATTCTACGGGCTCACAAACAATATAGGTATATTAAGGATATTATATCAATTTTGCTATTATTATATGTATATATATATGATTTCATCTCCAAATTTTCTACTAAGCACCAGGGTTTCTGGGGCTGTTTTTTGTCAGAAAGGATTGGATCTAACCTGGGACATCCCGAGAATTCCCAAGCACAGGGTCCCAGGGTCAAAATTGGGTACCCCAAGAGTTATAGACATGGTTAATACTAGTTAAATCTAATGATATAATACTAATGTTCATAGTCTTAAATCTGTCGCAGTTCTTTAATTTTGACCCATGACAGGATTGAATTGTTTCACATTTGTTTCTGGACAGATCCAGCTCTTTGTCTTGAGTGCTTTTCAGTCCTACTGAGGCACCAAAGAACTTTCAGAGGCTGACTGGAAACAGCCCCCAGAAACCATGATGGATCTAAGGGATTTACAACTGCGGCCGTAACTAGGGGAATGGGACCTGGATGGACCTGGTAAACCACGCTTGAAAGATGTTGATACATCTGCGTTGCGGGAATTTGTGAGATGGTTCGGTGTGCCCCATGCCGTCCCATGCCACTGAAAATGGGGATAGAAACTTCAAGAACAGGGTTGGGAGTGTCTTCTTCTTACTGGTATGGCGGTTCCACTGGTTTCAGGGGTGTAGTTCCTGAATGGTTGAAAGATGTTGAAAGGAAGGTAATCCACAAACGCGGCTCAGCCATGCAAGTTCCAGCTGCTTCTTTCAGCAGGCTGTGGCCGTGGTTCCAGTCTGCAACCCCATCGATTTTCCTCTTCAAAAGAGCCGGACACCATTTGTCATTTTGTCATGGTGAGACTGTTGCCAGCTTGGTTCGCAAGCCATAATTACCCTCTGGTTATTTAACATAGCCATGGAAAATCACCATGTTTAATAGGTAAACCATCTATAAATGGGCCATGTATACCATGGCTATGTTAGTCATAACCAGAGGGTGAGTTGTTTTTTTTTCCAAGACTACAATGGATACGAAGGCGAGAATTTGAGCCCAGCTCTGTACAATGTCTGTTGTTTGTAGCAGTATTATCATCACAAAATAGCAATGACTTTGATTTAATGACTTTGATTTATTGGCATTATCCTTCGGTAGTGCAATATATGACCATGATGATATTCATTGCACATTATTATTCAGGAGGTTTTTTTTTTGCTGTTCCGTTTGGGTGTTTTTTTCCAATTTTCATGTCTGGTTGCTTTTGATTTTGCTTCTGTTTTTGCTTCTTTTCCTACTTCTTTGCTTTTCTGCTTCTTCGCTTTTCCGCTTCTCTGCTTTTTTTGTTCTTTCCCTGCTTTTACCCTTGTCTGCTTTTCCGCTTTTCCGCTTTTACTTGTCAAGCCCTAAAGCAACCCCTAAAATCAGTGAATCAATCAGACCTAAACCAACCCAAAATAAACTTGACTCCAGCCTTGAATAAATCTTAAACAATTGTTGAATTCACCCTAAATCAACCGCAACCAAGGGTGAACACCCGAAGCGATAAACTTGAACCCATTCCTCAATAAACACTACACCGACCCTAAACAATTTTTCAACTAACCCTAAGTATACCTCAAATAAACGCCTCATTAAACCCTAAACCAACTTTAGATACACCTTAAATAAACCTTAAACCAACCCTCAACCCTAGATAAACCCTAAACCAACCCTAAAGAAACAATAGACCAACAGGAAATACACCCCAAACCAATCCTGAACCAAGCCTACAAGAACCCTACGCCTTAATCAACCCTGTATGAACTCCAAACCAACCCTAAACTCACCTTAAATGAAGTTGAAACAGTTTGCAAACAAACTAAATAAGCGACACAGCAATTTTAGATAATCCCTAAGCCAAACCGTAAATAGACACGAAATCGCCACCAAATAATTACTAAGACAACCCTAAATAAACCACACCCTGAGCAAAGCCTAAATTACTAATAACAGCTCAACGTGTCGAAAATATGGCCCTTGCGCAAGATTTCCTGCAGAATCCTCGCCCCAAGATCAAATCAGAAAAAACATACCCAAACATACCCGGAATAGAATACATAACCTTATTTGTTACTAGTTAGTTGGGGTTTCACATATTTAATTAGTGTTTTTCAATCGTACTTGAGATGATTTGTTGAGATGACGCTCATATTCTTGGGATGGGTTAATACCACCAACCAGAATAATTGCCAAGTATGACTATGAATTACTCAGATTATTCCATACGATTGCTGCCATGTTTCAATGGATTGGTTTAAGGGAAAATCTTAACTGGAAACCATCGATTTTCCCATTCAAAAAGAGGGGCTTTCCCGTAAAATTTCCCTTCAACCAATCCATTAAATGTGTTTTTTATCTATTGTTATTTTGGGATATTTTTGGTGCACCACATCATTCCAACCACCCCACCAGGCGAAAGCTGCTGTGGCGGAGCTTACATCGCAGCTCGCCAAAGTCAATGAGGTCGGCGCGTGCCGACCCAGTCTCTGGTAATCAAAGATGGAAATGGAAAAACTAGATTTCCATAAATGGAGATACCACAAAATGGAGGGTTTCCATGGGTTTCCCAAATGGAAAATCCTTTGGAAACATGGATGATTTAGGGGTATTCCCATTTCAGGAAACCTCCACATGGTGGAATTATGTTTTTTTTTTGGGGTAAACGTTTAACCAATGAGAATTGCGGGTGAACCATCAACAATGGAGAAATCTGGTTGGTCAATGAACTGGTTTGGGGGAAAACCCGCAGGAAACCATGGCTTTCATCATCAGCGAAGTCTTCCATCCAATTCTGCGAACCGATCGTTTGCAGATGATTTTCCTAGGGGAACTATGTCAGGACTCAGGACCCCTAAAAAGGGGAAACACATGTAACAAGATCTGGGGATTTACGATCGTTGACCCCTCAATGTACTACAATTAACAATATGGAAATATGGTTGGAACTGCAAAAGGATGGAAGAACCATGCCGTTTCAAAAACGCATGGCAGATGAAGCTTGAACATGATTTTAAGTACCAAAAACTGGGTGGGCATTGACTTGGATTGGATGCTGAGGGGCAAGCTAATTTCCAGGTGAATACCCTTGGTGGTATAACTTGGAACTTTCCCACAAGTTTCCTCCAAGTGTGGTGTTTGCGTACAATTTTTGGGGATCAAACATCTCAAATCATCAGAAATTCTCAGCAAATGTCCGTAATAAAAAACATGTTCCCACCATTTTCTCCTCATTTCTTCCCCCTCATTTTTTCCTGCCAGAATCCCCAAGAACATTTTCCGAAGAATTTTCCTAATTGACTTCGTTTATCCCAGAATTTTCCATTCATTTTTGAACATTTTCCGAACATGTTTCCACATTTTTCCAACACTTTCCCAAACATTTTCCCACATTCTTCCCAACACTTTCGGAACGTTTTCCAACATTTTTTTCACCTTTTCTCACATTTTCCCACCTTTCCGAACATTTTCCCACAATTTTTCTCACATGTTTCCCCAAGAAGCGCGCCATGAGTGGTGTGAGGAGCTGAGCCTGCAGCAACAGCAGCTGAAAGAAGCCGAAGAGATGCGTCTGGTGGCCGAAGCCTTGGCCAAGGAGGCGCTAAACATTGAGACCATGGCTTCGTGATGGGTCAAAGATGGTATTTTGATGTATTTTGAATGGAAAAAATCTGGTGAGAAAAACGAAACTGAACGGAGGGTTTTGATATAATTAATATTAATTAATCATATTTTTACGAGGAAAATCTGGCAAAATCGGTGAATGGAGGGTTGTGATGGTATTTACCAGTGGTGAACGGAGGTAAAGGTGGAAGCTTTCCCATCAGCTACAGGGGATGGGGATCCAAGTTTCATGGTGCCAGCTTGAATCGAACATGGCCATGGCTGGCTGCCCTGTCATGTGGGACATTCACCACAGGTATATGGCAGTTTATGGCAGGCAGGTTAGATTGAGGGTTTGCCATGGCTAATATCAGGTGTGGTGAGATAAATGGTGAAATTTTCCATCAAGATCCATCAAGAAGAGGTTTGCACATCGTTTGGAACCGATTCTTGCGGACAGTATATAGCCCCACATCGAAAGTTTCAGCATCGAACTGGGACAAATGAGATTGGAATGTTTCCCCATTTGATACATTCCAATTTGTTGGTTACAAGCTGTCTCAGACTCTCAGACTTGTTTCCAGAGAAAAGGGGTGAACTCCCCAACATTCTGAGTCCAGCAACACGGAGAATATAGCGTTTGATAAAAAAATAACAAATAGAGAAAAACAAAACCAGAGCGAACAAAAAAAACAAACACAAATTGAGGAAAATGCATGAACATGCAGGTTTTGTTTTTTTTTGTTCTTTGTTTGTTTTTTCTGGTGACTCTCCCTGTCGTTGTTTTTTGGTGATTCGGTTTTTGATTGTTTTTTTTTGCTAAAATCAACTGTTCTACACGGAATCATAACCCTAACAAGGCACGTTGACAGAGACAACCACCGATTTTTGGACAGTAATCGTTTTTCATATTTGGCGGTTCAGTGCCACAGCATTTTTGGGTGATGAACATCCAATTGCCAGCGATTTTGGTGTTCAGGGATAGCTTGCCGTATATTGTACCATGCACCCATTTTAGCCACGAACAGTGGGGAAAATGGGGTGTCCAGCTAAAAATTACTAGCATTGTTTGTTCCTTAAACCAGCCAGTGAATACTTGGGGTTGTCAATAGGGTACCACTACCCCAAATTTGATGGTGTTAATCACCATTTTTTTTTCATTACACATTTTTGTTATCAACCATTTTCAACAAAGACCTGAATCGTATCAAATTGGATGATCTAATAGTCATTAAAGACCTGATGAAATATCTTAGACTGGTTGGTGGTTTGGAACATTTTTTTATTTTCCATTTCATATATGGGATGTCATCCTTCCCATTGACGAACTCCATCATTTTTCAAGATGGTGAAATGGCACCAACCAGATTTAGTAAGTGGTTTATAATCCATATGTAGCCCATAGTTCATCCCAGAAGTGTGGATATATCATTGGGAACTGTTGAATCGTGGGAATGACCACGAGACTTGCCCGACTTCGACGCGAGGCGAAGTCCAAGGCACCCCAGGCGCGGTGCACTTGGGAAGCAGTGACCCCCATGATGTTGGATGTATCCATTACAATATATATATATATTATTTTATATACAGTATATATATACACAATATGAGACGTGTATATATATATATATCTATCACTACATGGTGAAGATATGGAAATATATGAAGATATTGATATGGAAGTATATGAAACATGTGTATATCACTACTGGAATAGTCATACTATATCATTTATGGAATAGTCCTATTTCACCGTGTTTTTTTTTGGGCAGAGCATCTAAGGTCAATACCCCGTACCCCCAAGCAGGTCGACGATTTTCCCAGCTATAAACCATTATAAACCTTTATTTAGTTTGGGGATTTTCGATTGCCATGTTTGATTACCAGAGGGGACACTTATTGTTATATGTGTGTATATCCATTACTATACGCTACTGTATTATAAAAATGTATATACATATATATATACTATGCTGTTTTACCATCATGTGATTTAGATATGAAGTATTATATTATAGTATATGACTAATGGAATAGTACTATATATATATGCGCCATATAGATATGGCATTTCATGGACTATTCATAATATGATGGTATAGATATGGAATTATCATTATATATATATATCATGTTGGGGAACTATTCTGTAGGATTAGCCACTATGATATACCATTTACAATTTTATAGGACTAATCATTAGTCGAACATGTGGAAGAATCATGGGGAGGTATAGTTATTGAATGGGAATATGGAAATATAGGCTAAGAATTCTAATTTAGTGGGGGTGCGGAAGAGCAATGTGGATATGGAATGACAATGGCTGTAAAGCTGGATCACACACGCGCACATATATATGTATATAATCGTCTAAATATATAATATATATATAATATATATATATAAATGTATACACATAAATATGAATACTATTATACACTCATGCATGCATGCGCATATGTACATATATAAGTAGTCATGCTGCTGAAGTAGATAGAATTCGTTTTTTTTTTCCCACAAAACTCGTCCCAATAATAAGTGAGATGTTTTTTGCACTTTCATATTCCATCTGCCCGAGGATGATGACACGTACATGCATACGTACATACATACATACGTACGTACATACATACATACATACATACATACATACACACATACATACACACACACATAGACGCACACACCCACATAGACACAGAGACAGACAGAGACAGACAGAGACAGACAGAGACAGACAGAGACCGACAGAGACGGACAGAGACGGACAGAGACGGACAGAGACGGACAGAGACAGATGCCAACATATCAACATATCAACCTACCGGAAAAAAGGTAATGCCTGGATGGTAGTTCAATGACACTTACTTTGTTTTTTGCAAGTTTTCTATCTATGACTTGGGGTTGCTTTTGAAAACATAGACATTAATCTATCATGTATCATCCATTAATCAAACAGTGAACACCCACTAACTAAATGTCGGTGGTCCATCAGTGGCCCATAAATAATCACACACACATATATATAAATAAATAAATATATGCATGTTGGGTTGTCTCAAAATTAGGCACCCCAAATGGTTTGTATACTCCTGTTCACTATTAATATGAGATAATATGAGCATATATTGAGGCATCCATCCTAAGACAGGCCCATACTATATACACTACGTATACACTATCTCCACGTCGTCGTTTCTTTATTCGCATAATCCATCAAGCATTAATCATCCATTAATTAATCACCCATTGCCCGTTTATATTTACATATATGATTCATATATATATATACATACACATTCACATAATCCATCAATCAGTGTTTCCAAAGTCACAAACCTGTACACTTTTTAATGTACCAACGAATATATATATATAGTGGTCTTGGGGTAGATAGAATATAGAAATCTCAAAGAACCATTAAAACATGGGAATATGATTGAAAAATCCAGGTGGAAGTCAAAGAGGACAAGTCCGAAGCTTTGGCGGAGGAATTGGTGCCGAACCGGCCCTTTTTCACCCCAGCCAGGGATGCGTCCCTAGTTTTTCTTTTTCCCGGGGATAGGGTTGATTGCTTTTCCCGGAAATCCAATTTGTTTGTGAATTTGTTGGCAAATAGGGTCCATTTGTTTTTGGCAATAGCATCGGTTAAACCATATATATATATGCATCCAATTGTTTTTGGATTGTTGGTTAAACCAACACATTTGGGCATGTCAGAAAATTGGGGTACCCCGAAACCTTTGTTGTTTTCCGGAAAAATGGCCTATTCTTCGGTGGATTTTTTGGGTGCCTCATTTTGAGACGTCCCAATTGTTTGGACCGGTGGAGATGTAATTGTAACCACTTTGCCTCATCAGGTTGGTGTTGTCAACGGAAAGCCTTCATGACTTGGTGGATGGGGATATGCTGATGTTTGTGTTGCATTAGAGGATGCGTCTTATTTTTTTAACCCCCAAACTGGGTCAACCTTGGATTTGTGGATAGTGCCATCTTTCAGAATTGTTTTGCCGTTTGGATTGGAATAAACGTGTACTAACCAGCCAAACATGCCATTTCTTTGCACGGCTGCTAGGTTGGCAGGTCAGCCGTGGATCAAGGGCACATAGCTTCAGCATGGGATTGACACCTCTGGTTTGCAATGGTTGAAATACAATCCATTTCTGGAAGATTTGGGGATGGTTTGAGTGATGGTTGGTTATTGAATTGAACTTGCCACAATGTGACCACCAATGGTGTCACCGTGTTACACCGTGGTTTGGTCAGTTCTCTAATTTCAATCAATTTCCAGAGTGACAGGGTGTTTGGAAAAACATGTGGCACGCCTGGCACGCCTGTGCGATTGGTTCAAGTTCAAGATGCCATTCAGACACGGCCATGTCACCGTGATATGGCACATCTAATCACATCTACCAAGCCGTTGCGCAATGACAGACATGATTTTTGGTGTCTTGTTACTTGTTGTTTTTGTTCACCATTTCTTAACCATTTGAATTTGTTCACATAAAAATCACAAAACATCACCGTTTCAGTGACCAGCCATGGAATTCATGGAGCCTCGGTCTGATGAGGTCGGCACACACCGCTGTGTGTGGCTGGATCTTGCGAGTGGAGACGTTGATGTCTTTTTGAACCATATAATACCATATAATCAGGACATAATCAATAGTATATATATATATGTAACCAATCTATCTTTACTGTTTAATCAATACATAATCAACATATAACCAATATATATATAATCAATATATATACACACATATATAAATATATACTGTATATGTGTGTGTGTATAGGTATATCTATATATATATATAAATATACATCGTCAATATACACTCTACATCTCGATAACAATATATGTCACATTCGGGTCAGATTGGGGATCTCCGGGATTTGGGGGCCAGGTGTCATGGGTGTTACCATCCTCATGGGAGTTGTTTTGAAGCAACTGGATGGGTAGAAACCAATCAATTGGAGCATTGCCAGAACCATCACCGGACCAGCCAAAAGACGACACTTAACCGAAAAAAGAGATTGACCGATTGACCATGAATTAAGTTCAAGTTTCCGAATATCATGAGATATCAATAGATGTAATAGATTGTAATAGTATACTTAAAGATGGTAACATATGGTAGCATACAATGATATATAAGTTCCATTTCCCAGGGTTCATGCTTTGCTATCCTAAGAACTATGTCACAACCAGAGAGTGTTTTTAGGTTGACTGGCTATGTCCTTTCCCCATTTCTTGGTGGACGAATTTCTTGCGAAAGTCGCTGCATCGAACACTCACCAATCCCAAGCAATCCCAAGAACAAGCCCTTTTTTGAGAATGCCTGCTGAACAGTGTTCGACCTCCTGTGGGTTCTTAGATTTCTTAGCAGGAGGGTTGGGATTGACATGCCCAGCAAATCACAAATACCAGTTTGTTTGAAAATTGGGTACTGGCCCTGTTGATGCTTTAAACCATCATCATTTTCTTCAAAGGGTCATCAGGTAAAAAACCATGTTTCAGCCGCCCCCAGAAAATTATGTTGGTTATATGTCCATCACACATGTTCATATAATTATATATAATTATATATATGTAATATAGATGTCCCTCTATGGTGTAAGTGTAAGTATCTAGCGATTTATGTCCCAACCATATCCCCTTTAAATGATAAGGGCAATCGAAAAGCAGGAGCTGTTTAGCGATGGACCAACTGAGTCCACTGAAGTGGAGAACGGTCCAGGACCGGTTTTCAGCAGTGGGTCATGGTGGGTCAACTCGACGCGCGAGAAGTGCTGGTACTACTCGTGTTATTTGTTGTTTATGCCTTGTTTATTCCAACTGAAGTTGTTATTAGTAGTGCTATTCCAATTAGTGGTACTATTCCAATTTGTAGTAGTACTATTCCTGTTAGTTATTGGCTATCATTGCTTTTGAATGCTTTTGAATGTTTTATGTTGCCATTCATTTTATTAGCTGCTGCAGTAGGAGGGGAGGGGGAGGAAGAGGAGGAGTAGGAGTAAGAGTAGGAGCAGGAGTAGCAGGACTCGTTATAGGAAAAGGAGTACGCGTAGGAGGAGGAGCAGCAGCAGTAGTAGTATTTCCATATCTGAATCTACGTTCATGTACCGGAGGTAAAGTTGAAAGAGTGACCAACTAGCCCTTGGTGGGCCGATTTGCAATTTTGAGTCCCCATGCGCCATACACCTCACCTGAAAAGTTCCAAGGTTTACATCATCTTCCAGGTTCATGGTTTGCCTTCTTAGTTGATTTGTTCCTCTTTTTGCCGGGTGAGTAAAATTCATGTTTCCCTATTTTTCCCATTGCTGGTGGTCATATATATATCCAAAGAACTGGAGCAAACCCTTTGAAGCCCCGGGAAAAAAAGAACTGATCTGCGAATGTTCCATGGGATAGCTACTTGTATTTTGGCAAATTTATAACTTCAAGGTTGGTTGTCAAGAGGGTACACCCCTATGTTGGTAGAGGAAATCAACCAGGGCATTGTGGTGCACGCATTTGGGACTTTCGGGTCCAAGTTCCTTTTGTTACTTGGACCCAAAACATCCCAGTGAGGATAACAAGTTGTTTTGAGAAACCATCGTTTGCCCATGTTTTTCCAACGTAGAACCGTAGAACCCATTAATCTAACCTTTTTTTTTCCTTCTCCCATGGTTATTAGTTATTAGCCACAAAACCCATGCCTGGAAAACGCGCATCCACTGCCGAAACCTTTCCTGGCGCTCAGGGCGTAAACGCGTTGCTTGGTGCGTTCGAGGGCCCTCCGTTGGTTGATGATTTCATGCTATTTCAGTCATGGAGAGTGAAACATAATTTTTCACCATGGTTCATAAGGATTTGAACTATCAGGTGGGGATATGTCTAGAGTCTAATTGATAACTCAGTTGCTGATTTCTTCGGGGATAAAAACCGACCTTTTAGATGCATGGGGGTGATTAGAATCCAGTATAAAGCTACGACATTTTGGGTGTTGAATACTGCTCAATTGGGATGGTTTGACCAAAAAGACTCTATTTTCATTATCATTTCTTGCCTAAAACCATGGACCCCCCATCATATCCCATAACGCAATCCAATTAGGATAGGTTTTGATACCATTTGATACCCATATACCCCCACATCGTGGCATAAAACTATATAAAACTCACATTTTTTCCCGTCTTTTTTGGTAGTGATTTTCCCACCTCGCGGCCAGGTTGCCAGGCTCTTGAGGCATTTCGCTTTGTTGTCGCTGCTGGCTGCGGTCTGTCTCATTGGACGGCAGAGGCCGGAGGGATAGATCCTGCCATGGGCGTTGGTCCTTGGTCTGGATGGGTTTCCACCAAGAATTGGGGCAATTTTCTGCCAAAATCTTATAATTGATATATACATATATTTGGGACCATTTGGGAATTGCACAAGCATATTTGGGAATCATCTATCATCTGTGCCATGGTCAAGTTAGTTAACTTGTATACCCAGTCCATCCCAGTCCTTGGAGCTCTTGGGTGGGACATCCATTTTCATAGCGACTGTGGAAGAATGTGGTTTTGGATTCCATACCACATGGGATAGATGAACATAGCACATCAATCCCATGTCACTTGATCATAAACTGATATGACGGGATGGCGCTGGAGAGAGAGAAAAACATATGATGTGATGTGAGGTTCGGATGGTTCGGGATGACTCATGATTGATGATTTGATGAGTTCTGTATTCTCAATCTTCTCGTGTCTTATTTATTTGCTAATTCTTTGCTATTTATGGGGGTGCAGGCCCAGCTGGTACGAGGCGGTACGGTACCGGCAGGCCATGTGGGCGGTGGAGTTGCCATTGAAAAATGAAACATGGAAAATGTACAAAAAAAAACAATGTTTTAAGAATCCATGGTTTCCGGTGAAGATTTTCCCTGAAACCAATCCGTTTATCCATGGGACACAGCATGTTTTAGCCTTGGGATATGGAGGATTTCCTGTTGCTTCAGCAAGTCATAGGATTTTCTGGGAGCAAGTTGGAACCAACTCTGAGACTGGGGTTGGTTCTGTGGAAGGCAAGGCAGGGCATGGTACAGTTTCTCTTCAGATCACAATTCCCCAGCTGCAAAGTCAAGTAACCCCACTTTTCGCATCCCGGTTGGTAACATTTGGTGCTGGGGAATATCGGACTCCTAATTGTGGAGATTTGGTTTATAGGCATCAGAAGAACCATGCCCCGCAGTTGTTGCCGAAGTAATGGGACACATCAGGTTGACAATGAACTTAGGGAGCTTGGACATGTCTCAGAATTGGTTGAATTGAACATCTTCATTTTTGTTTACAAAGATCCTCAAATTCTGCAGATGTCCGGGAAAAATATCTTCCTTTTCTTCAGATGTTCCTTTAAATATTCTAAAAAAATGTGGACTGAGTCGATGTGACCCCTAAAAGCCACGAAAGTCGCCATGCGTTCTCGGCCTCTCGGCCTAGGGATCGCAGCTGTGGGCCCCCCCTGAATGGCATAAAGATGCTGAAGGAAACGACGTCAAGGCCAGGTGTGAGACGTGGGGCGGTGGGGCATCCCCAAAGTTTCAAGAAAAAACCCCTAAATGGTATAAAATAGAAGGTTTTTTTTATATGTTTTTATCCCCAAAGAACGAAACCACATTATATATATACAGCATAAATATATAGTTATAAATACAGATGCACACAGACATACATACACGCACACACACACACGTACCTACATACATACGTACGTACGTACGTACGTACGTACGTACGTACGTACGTATATAAATACATAGATACATAGTGCCTGAGGATCTTGTTTTTCTTCTAGCCATCCGTGGGATGATCCTTCAAGCACTCTCTGAGTTTCTCTCTGAGTCCGACCAGCCTCGTAGGTTTGGAGAAAAATCCCAGAATTGTTGAAGAAATATGAAGAAATCAGGTGTTCCCCTTTGCATGGACCATTTGATAGTAGAATCTGGGCCAACCTCGGTTTGGTAGCATGGATGACGGGTTCCTGATTTTTCAGCCATGGAACTGCCGGGGTACGTGGATGTTTTCCAGACAGAAACCAAAGGACAGAATTTCACCCTAATCGGTGCCCTCTGGTAATTTAACATAGCTATTGAAAATGGCCATTTATAGTGAGTTTTCCCATTAAAAATGGTCATTTTCAATAGCTATGTTAGTTTACCAGAGGGTATAATAAGGCAATTTTGTTCACATTCTTCCTGGTATATTCTGGAGATTTCCTGAAAACATCAGGCCCCCAATGGCTTGAAAAGATGGTGGGGCACCTCCCAATGGCTTCGCTCCGCCATTTTTTGTCTCTGGAGGATACCTGGGACCACTACCAGATGCCCAATTGCGACAGTGGACCACCTCCCAACGCGAAAAAGAAGGCCAAATGGCGATGGTGTACTCTCCAGTAAACTAACATACTGTGGATGGAAGAAAACCTGCAGCAGTTGATAGGTTTATCCCATGATTTATAGGATTTCAACCATCCAAGGTGGTGCAGGATTTCGCAACCATCCACAGTAGCTATGGAAAATGGACCATTTACAGATGATTTACTAAGTAAGATAGTGATTTTCCATAGCTATGTTCGTTTACCAGAGGGTATGGTTGTTTATGGCTTTGAGTAAGCGCCACATTAAGTAGGCTAGGTCCAAAAAACGTCCTTCCAGTGAATATTTTAACGGAAGCCTTCCAGTACCACTTAGGGACTTCGGATCATCGCTCCGATAGGTCCTTGGGATAGCCCCCCAAGTGGTGAATGAACACATCCATTGAATCATGCAAAATCCACAGGTCTTAGTGGTTTCATACTTGGGAGTGCAGTGTTTCACTAACTGCACTTACAAGTGGATCATAGTCTGACATAGTCTGACATTAAGTTAAGGGTTGTATCTGACATATACATGCATTCATATATCATGTATATATATATATACAATACAATAAATATATATAATAGTATATAAAATATAGTATATATATATATGTATAATATATTTAATATATATATTATCTATTATATTATATGTCATATATCATGTATATATATATATCCCAACATACCATGGTTACCAATCATTTCTCTTTCCACCAGGTGATCGTGGGTCCCAAAATTGCCCTGCGAAAGATGAAGGCCGCCGTTTTTCGGAGAAGTCCATGGGAAAATGTGACTCTTCAGTCCATGGGAAACATGGCTTCATTGAATTTAGATATAATGTGATCTATGTAGGTGGGATATACACAAGGTGGTGCCCCATAGTTAGCTAAGTTGGTTTATAACTCCAATAACTATGGTTTGTGGTAGATATATTAATATTTACTATGGTTTACAAACCAACTTATAACTGGTTAACTGGTTGGGCACAGCCTTGCAGTACCTATATATATATATATCTAGAATTATATTTACTATATATATATATAGAATTATATATACTATATATATGTATATATATATGTAATCTAAATGTAATGGTAAATGCAAATGCAAATGTTATTGCAATGTAATGTATGTATATATATATATATTTAAAAAAACAACTTGATATGCTACAAGGTGGGGCTCCCAAACGGTAGCTAAATTGGTTCATGAATGTCGTTTATCAGTAGGTTATTTATGGTTTGTGGTAGGTACAGCTGTAGGTATCTATGGGTTTTTGGTTGTTCAGACCAACATATTTCAATTTTTTTCTCAGCTATACAACCCAGTGAAAAAGAGAGGAGGATTCAATCATCAACAACAAGGGCACATTAGAATTACTGTAAACCAACAAAGAAGAATATTGAATATTGAATAAATACTGGAACTTATTACCATCTGGAAATTAGTCAAACATGGCAATGAGAAATCCTCTGTAAATAGGTGTTAATGGGAACATCGGACCATCGTTTATGTTTAGATAATGTGGTTGATTTTCCATCGCTATGTTTTTCAAACAAACCGGAGGAGATCGCAGAAAAACGGCTGTGAGTCTGGCACCATAGGTACCCTTAGGTACCCTAAGATAGCTGGTTAATGGATGTCGAATATCCCCCACACATGTTATGAGTTGTGATAGGTTTTGACCCATCCCCAGTTTCGACATTTTCTCCCACTGTTGGTCCCATCCCCAGTTCGGAGTAGGGGCTCTGCAGGAGAAGTTGAAGTTGCCGAAACTGAAGATCGAAGCCGTGCGGAAGATGAAAGATGTCTTGGCCGCGATCTCAGGGAGGATGGGAAGCCTCTGGTTTACCCGGCCTGGTAAACTGCCACAGAACTGATGGGAAAGATCCACCATGTTTAATATGGGAAAATCCACTGACTGGGCCATTTTCTATGTCGTTTTTTGTATGTTTACCAGCAGGTAGATCAGGGGTTTCCATGTGAAGATTCCATGATGTTGACTGGGAGGATCATGGATCATCATTGAACTGGAGGGCCAGGGCGGCCATTTCGGGCAAGAATATGGATTGGTTGTTATCAGATGATCAGCTTTACCACGGGCATGTTTGATTCCTCACCAGCCGCGTCAGCCTGGTTGATTCATCAGATACCATTTTGATCCATTTTTGATCCATTTTGATCCATTTTGATCCACTGGCTGGTGGTTTCAAACATTTTTTATTTTCCATAATATATGGGATAACATTGACTAATATTTTTCAGAGGGGTTGAAACCACCAACCAGTGTACGTTTGTTGTTGCCACTTCACTAATTGAATTGACGAGTTTGATTGGAATATGGCTGGCTTTAAGGTCAATCCCCACGCTCAATGGGATGTACCTTACCTTAGACATCCCTAGACCATTGGGGTCACAAGTCGCAATGGGAATTCAATCAACAGAGACGATATTTGTTGATAGACCCTCCTACTCCCTGTCAACTAGGAGGTCTGTGAGATCAAACACCAATTTTGTAGATTGCATAGCCGTTATTGAGCCATTTTGTTGTTTAACTGCCCATGCCACAAATTTTCTTGCTGTAACACTGTCGGGTTTTAGCTTCCCCGCAGCTTTGGGAGCAGCACGGAATTTCCATATTTTTGTCTTTGAAGCTCCTACGTGCAAGAACGTGTGCGTAGATTCTGAGTCATTTTCTCATAGGTAATTTCCGGGTAAGTCAGCATAACTTCATATAGTTTATCTATGAATGGGCCATCTATGCCGTAACTATGCCAAATAACCAGGGTGTCTCATCATTCCAATGGCTATTTCAGGGACCTAAATTGGCTGTACCTACCATATGTAAGGCCTACGTAAGGGCTAAATCTCAAGGAATATCCTCACAACATATGGCCTTATATGGATTTGAATGGTACAGTAGCTCCATTTTAGGTTCCTGAAATTCCCATTGAACAATCATGGATGGTTGGGAATTCCCTTTCATTGATCCATTATTGCAATTATCGATCCTTTTAGGATCTCTACCTCTAAGGCTGGGAATGTGGATGGGGCTAGAATCTGCTAAGAGGATCCCACGGATCGTCAGTAGTTAGCCTGGTGATCGTAGGTCCCCATTCAGTGGATGTTCCTATTTATAAATTATATACTCTAACATATCCATACATCAATCCATAAGATGGGGTAATTGGATGTTTTTTTTATATTTTTCATGGGTTATCACTATAAGCCCATGTTGCTAAGCACTTGAGTGGGAGAATCCTCCAAGAACCATGAGCAGTAGCTCCTAAATCCACTGGCGAGAATATATCATAAGGAATTTCCAATATCAAGCAGAACATTGATCTGGGCCTTTTTTGGATAATCATTGAGTTAAGTCCCTTCTGTGAACAATATGGGACTAACAATCAAATAATCAACTGAATCAATGAATTAGTTGAATCTCCTTGAACAGTACTATGGCTAATAGTTACTTGGATCTTGGGCTAAAATTGGGCCAATAATTAGGATCAAATGTTTGTTTCCTACATATTGAAAACTGACTAAGTTAACTAAGCAACTCATGAATGAGCTACGCTTATTAACAACTCATCGTGGATCATCCAGTCGTGTTCATTTGATTTGTTGAAAGCTCTGCATATTCAACCAGCATTGTGAATGCACCTACTCAATAATCAGAATTCAACTGAAACTAATTATATAACTTATAATCAATATTTTATAAGTGAATTCGCATGCCCTCTGGTAATTTAACAGGTAGTCATGGAACAATTTAATAGGCCGCCGTGGAACATCACCATGTTTGGTAAATCAGTCAACTAAGTGGACCATGGCTTCCATGGCATACTTACGTTGAGAGTCGTTCGGCTTTCCTGGAGATTACAAGTTGATTTTTAGACCCCATCAACTCTACAATGTGAGGCCCCCGTTCGATAGCTAAGTTGGTTTATAACTCCAATAACTATGGTTTATGGTACTTATAACTATAGTTACTGGGGCTCATAAACCAACTTAGCTATCGAACGGGGGCCTCACATTGTAGAAACCACCAAGATTTGATGCAGAAAAGCTTCAATTCTGGAGCTTCACACCAAAAAACTCACCCAGTCACAACGCCAAACGGTTTAACCCTCAAGCCTTTGTGAAGCCGGTCACATTCGATGAAACTAATCCCATCACCTTAATATTAAACACCCCATAAATTTTCCCAGGTTTATTATTGGAAATTCCCTACGAAACCATGGTTTCTAAGGGGGTATTTAATATTACCCATAGGATCCATGTATGCTATATATGATGACATTTACCATCAATATACCCCCAATGTTAGCATATATACCATACATGGATCCTATGGGTTAGGGGGAAGGGAAGGGATTCCAACTTTTTAAGACCTTTTTTTTCCATCGCCGGAGCGCCTAGGACCTGACAGATCCTCAGCCTCAGCTCTTCGCCACGGACACCCTTCGCCTGCGGCGCTTGCGACACGAAGTTGACGAAGGCGCAGGAAGATGGTGAAATCTCAGGAAACAACAGAAAAGTGGTGAACTGACTATATATCAGTAAAAGGGTTTTTGCGGGTACCGCAGTGATGAATTACTGGTGGTAAACGGAACATGGCTGGATTATGACTTTTCATTCAGTTGGGAATGGAATGTCATCATCACAACTGACTCATATTTTTCAGAGGGGTAGGTATACCACCAACCAGATTATCAATTTCTATCTTTTTTTTTGGTGTTACTATATATGTAATGGCCACATCATGCCACATCTGCGTTTTTTTTTCTCCCAGTGAATGGTACGTCATATGGAGGTACTGCAGTTTTAGCACCTCAACTCCAGTTCCGTCAAAAACCAGGGGTTTTCTGGCATTTATGCAGGCTTTTGAGACATCCCTTGCCCCACCATTTTTTCCGTCTTCATAAGAAGACGTCCTGCAACTAACTGCGGCGGTTTTTTCAATTTTTGATTGGCCCATTGGCAGTGAACGATAGTACTGTGGATGGTTGCGAATCCTGCACCACCAAAAGGATCGTTGAAAGCCTACAATGTGAGGCCCCCGTTCGATAGCTAAGTTGGTTAACAAAAACCCCAGTAACTAGTTCGTTATAAGTACCATAAACATCCATAAACCATAGTTATCGGAGTTATAAACCAACTTAGCTATCTTATCTTGGGGGCCTCACATTGTATGAATAATGGGATCTAATGAGATAATGGGATCTAATGGGATAAACCAACGTTTTCAACTGGTGCAGGATTTCGCAGCCATCCACTGTAGCTCCATGGTGCCATGTACCTGGGCCAGGGGATGAACCAGACGCCCTGCCGCCGAAACTCGCGGCGGTCAGGGATTTGAAGGTGCAAAGGGGTCCTAGGACTGGAGCACGGTCCGCACGGTTACATCATTAGTTGAAGATATGATGTCTAGATATGGCAGTACAATTTTAGATCATAGGACCTAGGACGATTCTAAAGGATTAACTAGTTGAAGATATGGAAGAGCCATGGGAGGTATAGTTGTTCGATGGGGATATGAAGCAATCATGGGAATACGGAATAGTAATAGGGATGTGGAGTGATCATGACTGGAAAGTTTGATCAATTTGATCAGGACCGAATCCCTGCGCCCCAAAATAGCCGAACTTTTCAGAGTGACTTAATTATTAGAATTGACGCAGACGTGGATTCTCAGCCGTATGTATGAAGATTTCTGGGACATAATGATGATCTAATATAACCTATAGAAATATAAGGGGAATTGTCACTTATTCTGAGGATTATTAATAGATTTATTGAACCAATCACCAATTACCGGGAAATGGCAATCCAAGTGTCCGAGACGTTTAGGTGCTATGAGATGGCTATACCATATAGATCAGCTATTTTGGTCAACGCAACCATGCTTCCGGGCATTGATTTAAGCCCCAAACAGGTAGAACCGTATTTCTTTTTGATGGACTTGGACTTTCTTTCTTGTTAGGGGTTGCGATATATCTTCGGGCAAGAATGACTGGCAGACGGGATCCTTTGGCATTTGGTTCAACACCCCCCCCCCGAATCATGGTCAGCAGAGTATGTGATTCACTGCATGATTCACTGCATGATTCACTGAGTGCACAGCGTTCTGAAGCAATTTTATCTGGGAAAATCATCCTTGGGGAATATCAACTGACGATTTAAATCTAAGGTCGGGGGTTGAATATGGACCCTACTGGGGGGAGCTTGACAATGCCGTAAACACACCCTACGGCCCATTCCGTTGTTTGTGTTTTTAAGTCTGGCATACAGAATTTATGTATAGCTGTCTGCAACGTATCGCAAAATTACATCCGCAAGAGAATTGGTAATCTCTAAGACTCTAAGGCAAGTGCTAAACCATGGATTTTGGTCTCAACATGGTAGAACCATAAACATTTATAACATGTAATAGCTATAGAAAACTATTCAACAACGCCATGATTTTGTTGTTTTGGGATGCTTCTTCGGCCATCCCTCTTTGCAAGGATGGCCGCGTACACATCAAATACGTTCCTGTGTGCCCCGACTGCAGGCCGCATGCCATGGCTATCCATATGGCCATATGTCATGCCATGGGTGTCAAGGGCGATCTTGGGGCCCCCAATTTCTTTTGGTCAAGGGACTACAGACAGAGCCCAGGTTGATGTGCAAAGCGGTCAGACTTAAACCTACACCATGATCCAAGGAGTTGGAATGTAACATGATTGTTTCCAACAGGTGATTCTCTCAACACATTCCAGGACATTCCATTTATTTTTTTTTTTGGGGGGGAGCTCTTCGAGCTGCCAGCTTGACCGAGGAAGAGAACAAGAGCCCAGCAAATCTGCGCGGAGCATATTGCCATAGCCAGCGCTGACCACGCGCAAATGTGGCATGGTCGTGGGACAATGGGGAGGGAGTTGTGCAGCTAGCAGGGCAATCATCCCCAGCTTTTGGTCGAGGAATCTTTTTCTGTTTAGGAACGGGGCGGTGGATCACCATGATCATACAAGCTTTTTGTCAATGCCCATATTTCAAGAACCTAAATTGGAGGTACCTACCATATATAAGGCCTATTTTTCAGGCCTATATTCCCATAGACTTTGTGTTTAGGAATTATTCGTTGGAACAACATCGAATTTGCCCATAATTTGCCCAGACAAAGTCGCCAAGACACTTGTGGATTGATGGGGATGCATGGGGTAGTGTTGGCAGGTTCAATGATTATTATTATTATAGATGATCTATTTATAATAATAGTAATTAATGATTATTGATCTATTATAGATGATCATCCTAATTATTGATATTATTGATAATTTTATACAAATAACCATAGATATGATCATCTATTATGATTATTATGATTATTATATCTGCACAATTTAGAGCGAGGGCTGACGAGGTACGAGGTGAATCTTTGCAATTTAAGCGAGGTGAATTAATTAAATTCAGAAAACGAGGTGGGCAGAAATTGCTTTCAAAGCATGTGCAACGAGTGAAAAACAACTTTTCGGGCTCCAGAAAGTTTTTTTGTGTTCCCATCAGAGTGAAAAAATAGAAAATTAAGGGTGCATTCAGACCCGTGAAAAAAAAACTTTCTGGAGCCCGAAAAGTTTTTTTTATCGTAATTCAGTCAGTGCCCTGTGGTGGCATGCCCGGTTGTTCCAGGACTTCCGTATTTGTTCTACAGTGAAACCACTGTTTAAGAACCCACTGCATTAAGAACCTCAGGGGCTGGATTGCTGGATTCAACTCTGTCTACCAGCTAATTGAAATAAGAACCCTAGGGAACCCTGAAATTTTGGTCAATAGTTCTTATTCACCTTTCCCAGGTAGCGCGACTAGATTCTAAAATTGCTAAAGCTTGAGGTGTAGCGGGGTATCTTGGTGCTGCTGCTGCAGCTTCTCTTCTCTGGGGTCGAATTTGGGGGGAATCGAGCCCCTGCAAATCCGCTTGTAAAAGAGGCATCTCGGAAACAGGAAAAAACTTTTTAGGCCCTGAAAAGTTTTTTCAGCATCCCCAAGCCTCTGGAGCCCAGAGCGTTGCTGCAACGACGACAAAGATAATTCAAAAAAGTTCAACCCAAAAGGAGGCAGAGGACTAGTTCGAATGGCTTGCGGTCGAGAAAGAAATGGGACGAGGGCTGAAATCCGTTTTGAATGTAACGAGGCGAGGACTGAAGATTTAATCAGAGGGGAAAAGTAGATTTAAGACGAGGAAACCGTTTTGAATTTAAAGTAAATTTTGCAGAGAGATGATCTGTTTATAGAAATCACTTTTGGCAGGTTACAGTCATCAGCAGATTACAGCAATATCAGTAATCAATAGTAATCATGATCAACTGGGGCTTTACCATCTGGTTGACAGGGCTCGGACACATTGAGACCGGGGGAGACCCCCTACCATAATCCCAATCCTGCAAGACATCCCGCAAGCGAGCCGCTTTCCGGGCAACTGAACGGGAGATACGGTGGTCTTTGTGTGCAATGATTAACAATGAACCAATGACCCGATGATTCAGTGAATCAATGAAGCAACGAAACAATGCATGAAGGGTTTAGTGAGTCGATGAATCTTGAAACTTCCGCCCCGGCGCGTGCCGGGCACTTCTCTAGCAGAATTTAGTGTCTTACAAATTATTGCCAAGTATATGGTCTATGATCATCAAAAATACATAAAAATCCAAGTCACCATTTTTAGGTGTGGCATAAACATGTGTAAACCATCCCCAAATGGTATCAAATGGTGGGTTCATGGCATTGGCATTTTGATTACCCTCTGGTAAACATACAAAAAGCTATTGAAAATAACCATAGAAATAGTGGATTTACCCATTAAACATGGTGATTTTCCATAGTTACGTAAACGTTTACCAGAGGGTATCTAACTATCTATGGATCCAGCCGCGCCCCCAAGCCATGTCCCCACCATGGCATCCATGGCTCTGAGGATCAAGGCCCATGCGGCCTTCGAGGCGCACCGGAAAGCCATCCGCGGCTTGCACTACTGGCAGGGCACACACCGTTGTGGCATTCAGTTCTACAACACGGACCGGGTGAATACCCTCTGGTAAACTAACATAGCTATGGAAAATCACCATTTTTCATGGGAAATTCCACTATAAATGGCCATTTTCAATAGCTATGTTAAATTACCAGAGGGTAAAATGGTGCCAAGGGAGGATCTGACTGAAGCACCGGTTTAAGCACCGGCAATGAGTTTTTGTTTACCATCTGGTTATGACTAACAGTTCGCCATGGTATAGATGGCCCATAGAAATAGATGATTTTCCCAGCTAGAAACCTCCATTTATGGTTGGTATTTTCCATGGCTATGTTAAATCACCAGATGGTATATTTAGATGCACAACATATACTCGTTCATGTCCTTACGTATGTAGACATACCATGACATACACATTTTTTTCATACATAGAGGTTAATGCGGGTAAAACAATAAGAAACCTTTCCCCAAATCACCATTTTTTAAGGTTGTATAAACCATTCCCAAATGGGTGGTCTATGGCATTGTTTTACCCCATGCAACTGAGATCACCGATGAACAACTTTTCCGCCTCCTCGGTCCCTTCTCCCACTACGCAAGTCGTCACTGACGTTGAAGCAAGAGTTCAAGTGCTCAAAAGTATTCAAAAGTGAGTTTCAACAGTTACATTACATTGTTTGTTTATTTTTTTTGTTTGTGTTCAACCAAAAGGTTGGAGCTTAAAACGTAAATTCTGAAGCAAACACCATTTTCGTTGTGAACTGTGGTGTGGAAAACTTTCTGTCCAGTTAGGCGTGAACAAATCCAAGCATAAGGGGACAGGGCGCTTCAAAACTACCATGCACATAAGTGAAACATTGCATTTTGATATACTTGACATGAAATTGAACAGAACTGTGATATACATATACTGTATACTGTACTTGGCATTACTGTTTCATGGTTTTCTTCTCGAGACGTGGAGACCCCCTCCTTAGACAAACCCGCATGGCCATGACCAGGGGGATACCAGAAAAACACCATGGAGTCAATGCGATATGGTGCTACAATGGGATGTATAACCAACATTAACCAACATCAACCAACTATATCTGATGATATTTGTTTTGTATATGGGCACCACTGGGTTTAACGTAATTTCATAACATTTCATAACCAGCAACCTTTGGATCCCCCTTCGGATGGCCAATCTGGCCAGGATTTCCCCGCGAAGATCACGTGGAGAGACGATCGCGGCCATGAAAGTCCGGCACACTGCCAACAAGCCTGCACCTGGAACCACGATTGCGAGGCAAATCGGGGCTTAATCGCGGCTCACTCGCCACGAGAGTAGCCTCTGGTTATGACAATTTGCTATTGAACATGGCCCATCTAGTTCGTTAATTTACCTATTAAAGATAGTTATTTTCCATAGCTATGTTAGTTTACCAGAGGGTAGCCGCTGTAGCCCTGCGGCCCGTCGATGATGGGAAAATCAGGTGCTACCATAGTTGGCCGCCTCTAGGCTACGATATGCTACGATTTCAAATGGACAAATGGTTAGCTTTAGTATTTCACTAGCATGGGGTTACAATATGTTACAATTTCCCGTGGGGTTTGGCATGGCGTTGTACCTTTTGTGGTTGTCGAATGCCAACAGGATAGCCTGTTCCGGTGGTGAGATTGTAGGCACCAGAATGGTGCTTCAAAAAGGACCCAGGACATCCTCGTCAGCCCCCCAAAATCCAGTGGATGTCATGACGTATTGAAACCTGCTGATTTGGGGATCCCCCAGATTCGGACATCAAAAAATCTCCTGGGGACGGTGGTTTCCAACATTTTTTTTTTCCATTTCATATATATGGGTTGTCATCCTTCCCATTGACGAACTCCATCATTTTTCAGAGGGGTAGGTATACCACCAACCAGTCTCCATTTCACCAGTTCCAGTGATTCTTGTCGCAACTCTCCACCTATCAGTGGGTATCCAAGGTTCCCCCCGTTTCATTTCCACTCGTGAGGGCTTTTCCTGGAGCAAGTGGGGATGCTTCTTGAAGAAGACACCGTTGCTTGGTGGGTCTTGCTCAATCCTCCCCGGGACTCCTGAAATCAGAGTTTTTTATGCATCATCTACATGGGTTAGTCTGAAAAATATGATGGAAAACCATGGAAAACCATGGAAAACCATGGAAAACAAAACGTCTTGATTGTCAAACATGGCCATAGATTGGGTGGAGACTCCCACTTTTTTGGGTCCCGGTTTTAGGGGTCCGGGGTCCCGCAGGACTCCATCGAAGCAATCATGGTCCAAGTCCAGAGTCTTGAAAATCATGTTGGATGATGTTTTTTCACATGACAAATGCTGGTTGGTGTTTTGGACCATTTCTATTTTCCATTTCATATATGGGTTGTCATCCTTCCCATTGACTCATATTTTTCAAGATGGTTAAAACCACCAACCAGAATAGATGATAAATCTGATAACGGCCTAGACATTCAGTATTGACTTATATATACTTATATGATTTTTAAGGGTCAATCATTCAATGGACGGAAGCAACAAGAGGGAGATGGGCTGTGAGAATGGCTGCCCTTGCGCATCCTTGGAAATGGCCCAAAAGGCTTTATGGCAGAGTATGTACTTGATAAATCTTGATACAGTGACATTTATCCCAAAAAGATCCAAAAAGGACTACGTATAATCTAATCACATGGAAAGTTGCAAACGGCAGGTCCCTGTTCTAGGGGATTCTAGGGTTTAGTTGCTTCGTTTTATGGGATCTAATCTCAACCCGGCTGCAGGGTGATTAGTACGCCTAGGAGACGGCTGCTTAATGGAACCCTGAAAGGTTTGCAATATGTACTTCGCACGTAGCGTAGGCATCATCATTTTCCGCTCTAAACGCCACGTGTTTGCTCCTTTTTCAGGTTCCATTGATAGAGTTTTTTCAGGATGGAACATGGTGGAACTATCTCCATGTGACGTCGGGTCCTGGATGTTCTTCCAAGGAAATTGCCTGAGAACGAGAAGAGAAAAAACAGTACCCGCTTCATCCACAAGTTTGTGGTTGCTCAGCTGAGGGTCGGTGCTTGTGCTGACTAAAAAATGGTGAATTCCTCTGTAAAAAAAACAAAGTCAAAGTAAGTTTGAAAAAACGGCGGTAAACTTTGGTAAATCACTTGGCTGAAGTTTTTATACCAATCTTTCTGGAGGAATAGCATATCCCAAAAACGGACTTTGTCCTGCGGAATGTTGGCTGTTGGCACAAAAAATGCCCCTGTGATTGTGATCCCTGGATCATCCTGGATCCTCGAAAACACAGGCCGGTGTCTATTCTGGACATCCTTGCAACCAGAAGGAGTGGGTGGGAAGATGTGGGAAGTGAGGTGCCGCCTCTCAAGGATCTTAAAGGCTTAAAGGGCGAAAGACTGACAGAGATCAAGGATCAAGTCAGAATTGACATCCAGGATATGTTCAACTGGTGATTTCTGGCCATCTCACCAGTTGGGAAAACTACCGCTGAATCACTGGGCTTTTCATGGGGAGCTGCCGTTGCTCCAGTGTGGCCAGCCATGGCTCTGCCACATGTCTTGTGGTTTCACAGAGCTTCTGGGTTTTCGGTATGATGTTTGTTGTTTTTTTTTTCTTAGTGGTTCTGGGCCCAAGATTACCGCCTATATAGATGATCATATTGATGCATAGGACCAGAATAGAACGCCCTCAGTTCGATGATGATGATGATGATGATGATGATGATGATCATGATGATGATGATGATTATGATGCAACCCAGTTTGAAACACACAGTTGTTGCCTCAGCTGATATCATACGATATCCGATTGATGTTGGATCCATGTTGGACCCTTTTGCTTGTTTAATGACTCTAATGACACAACAGCTACCATCTGGTTATTTAACATAGCCATGGAAAAGCACCATTTTTAATAGGTAAGCCATCTATAAATGGCAATTTTCCATGGCAAACTGTTAAATAACCAGAGGGTATCATAAAATGACCCAATCTGCTTTTGATGTTGCGGATTGCTATCCATTGCTATCCCATCCCCTCTATCCCCAAGTTTCAGTTTTACATATTTTCCGGGGCGGCCGCCGCCCGATGCATGGATATGCATGGATATGTAAAAGGTGCCCATAAATCATCATAAATCCACTGGTTAAAAAATGTTAAAAAGAAAAAAGGTCCCTATAAAATGGCCATGATTGGGCTGGCTATGGCTGGCGATTAGGCTGGCTATTCCCCATTTGGGTTTCAAAATCAGCATATAATCCCCGTCCCCTAATATGAAACACCCCCATGGAAGCCATAGTTTAATAGGGCATGACATAGTTTAACATTTGGGACCATACGATGGAAGTGTTTGTCGGGGGATGGGATTAATCATGATTAATCATCAATTAATAGGGCTTTCGCCCCCTTTTTTCCACTATAATCCCATTAAGATCCATTAAGTATATCAGTTATAGTTGTACCAGTTATATCCAATTACCCTTTGGTTATGACTAACATAGCCATGGTATAGATGGCCCATAGAAATAGATGGTTTACCTATTAATAGCATGGTGATTTTCCATGGCGAACTGTTAGTCATAACCAGCTGGTAGATGAATAATTATATAGCATATATATATAAACATTAGCTTCTTCGCATATCAGATGACAGCTAAGAATTGCCAATTCATATGAACATCAGGTGAATCTTACCATAGCAGCTTAGCATTTGTCAATTTCAGGCCATTACTACAGAGATGTCTACCATAAATCTCTGGAGCCGCGACAGGAATCGCCCTACCCTTGGATCAACGATCCGTTCCAAAAGCACAACCTGCCCAAACCCAAGGACGGCGGATCAGGTAAAGGTATGTACATATACTTACAAACCTATACATATATATAATTACATATATACATATATACTTCATCCATAGATACAGATATGTATAATATACTTATACTATATGTACATATATATATAGAGAAATCACTGGTGCATAACATGCTTGGTGTTTTTTTTTTCTCATCCGGGATGGACTCCGCGGAGCTCGTCATGCTCCCCGAAATGCTCCGCTTCTCCGCCCTGGTACAACTGGTGCTATCCACCCAGCTTACTGTAATGTGTTTGATGTCTTTCCAAGATTGGCCAAGTATGATGTGGATTTCTAATCTTCAATCTTGTGGCTTAAAACATCTTAGACCATCTGAAAACATCTGAAACCATCTTCAGCCATCTTAAAACCATCTTAAACCATTTTCAACCGACTCGCTTCACACTCCCATTTCACCAATTTCGATCCACCTGGTGCCAACGCAGGCGTATCACCCAGCAAAGAACGCCTCTATGTTCTGCACTATGCTGATCCTCCCCTATTCTTACGAGGTGCTCGTTGAAGCGAAGATTCCCCCCCTTTTTTTCATGGGAACAGGGGAGGAACATATGAGCCGTGTTCAAAACCCTGGTTGATGATTAGTTCGGGGATTATACTACCCAACATATTGGGAATTACAATAATCCAATAGGGGAATCCCTACTTACCAATCAGTATAATAGAAAGACAGAGGGATTTTGAACACTGCTCATATCAATTTATTTGAAAATGGGCTACCCCCAAATCCACTGGTTAGTCATCACATCCCCTGTTAAAGTGTCATTTTGCCGATGTACCCCATATCCAGACGGAGCCTTATATGATCCCTTCTTCCTGATATTAAACACACCCCAAGACCCTATGGTTGATGGATGTTAATGGATGAAATCAATGGAAATCACATATTTTGAAACCATACAATGGGAGTGTTTCATGTTTTTGGAGGAATGGGATTAGTGGATCAAATCCTATGATGAAATGATTTTCTGCAGGGGATCCAACCAGCAGTTTGGCTGTAGGCTGCCGTTTTGGTGCTGACTAATGCACGCAACCTCAAAATATTGAACATTTGAATAGAAATCCAACACAAATCATCTAGCATATTCCAACATAATGCTGGATTTGAACGGCTGAAATGATTTTTTTGGGGTGACTCAGTGACTACCCTCCGATAATTTAAGAATTTGCTATGGAAGCCATGGTCCAATTACTTCAATGTTTTACTGTACCCCAAATGGTGATTTTCCATAACAAACAGTTAAACTATAGGCAGAGGGTATAGATATGTATAGATCAGTATCCTTCTCAGATCACAGATCTTTTCAGATTTCAATTGCTACCTCTTCAGTATCGAACCGCGTTTTCTTCGATGCACCTGGCAACAATGAGCGGCTCGCATATGCTCGCATCATCGTGACATCGTGCGAGCCACTGGTTGACCTCACCATAAATGATGTGTAGAAAGGGAAATCCTCGCACTGATGGCCTTTGAATCTTTGGGATTTAGGGTGTTATGCAAAAAATGCAGGTAGGGGATGTCAACATATGTCAACTACCAATCATGTCGACGCACCCCCAAGCTGTTGAATTTTGGGGCGTACAGTTTAATAGCACAAGATCACTTTCTGGGGCAACCCGGGTTGACTTCATCTGAGATTGGTTGACCCCCCAAAGCCAGATGGTTTCTGATGACAGTATCCTTTTTGTGGGCTAAATCCTCAGTTTCACGTTTTTTTTTGGGGCTGCTGAAGTCCAATTTTGTGGCTTAGTTGATGTTAGTTGATGTTAGTTGATATTGGTTGATGTTAGTTGATGTCCGTTGATGTTCGTTGATGTTCGTTGATGTTCGTTGATGTTCGTTGGATTTCCTAAATCCCCAAATTCACCAATTCAGAATGGGTGGATCACAAAAACTGCGACCCCAGCACCTCGGCGGAGGTGGATTTGACGATCATGCAGCACCAGCCCCTGTGATGAAAAGTCTGACTTTCTGGGCGATTTCCCGTTGAAGACGGCAACGAAACCCATTTTCTAGCCATCAGGATGGAACACCTTGGTTTTTTCAGTTTTTTTTTTTGCAGCGAATTTGCTGACTGGTTGGTGGTTTGGAACATTCTTTATTTTCCCCAATAGTTGGGATGATGATCCAATCTGACTAATATTTTTCAGAGGGGTTGAAACCACCAACCAGCTGATTTTGCCATTTTGGGAGGAAGATTCCAAGATTAGACTTTCTCGGGCGGATGTGTGATGACATATTCTAGGATACTCTAAGGCAGATTGTCAGAGTTCCTCGCAGGCATTTGTTCAATCGACAGCTTCACCAAACGTCCTGGGGGCTTTCGATCACACATCTTTATGTTTCTGCAGGATTGTTTTATCTTTCATCAATTTACATCATTAGATATGATGAGTGTATGTACTATACACTGATGTTCGTTTAAGCTGTTGTTCAGTATGGGCGCAACATTTTGGCGCACATGTTCAACTACCGAGCTACGCCAACATGCTGCCAAGCGCAGCTTTTGGGTTCTGAGGAACTACTATAGCATCTTCATGTGCGAGCATTGGCAGGCCCAAATAAGGGGGGACATACTGTGGATGGAAGAAATCCTGCACCAGTTGATAGGTGGTTTATCCCATTATTCACAGGGTTTCAACCATCCAAGGTGGTGCAGGATTTCTTCCATCCACTGTACTATTTATTTATTGATGATCACTTGTAGCAGCGAGACATAAGAACAATAAGAGACGAAAGCAGTGAGCATGGAGGATTTTTCTCGGTGCAAAGAATGGGTTTCCCATGTGTGTTGATGTGTGTTGGTTTAATCCCCAGTTTGAGGTGTGCCTCAATCCCCAAATTCCATGGGGAAGATGTCAATGTTTGTATATTCCAGATTCCTCTGTTTTTGTTGATTAGAATCCGCACTGTTCGCCGTTTTTTCCCCTAAATTCTCTTTCCTAAATCCTCTTTCCTTTATAGTCAAAGTTAAATGCAGTCTTTGGCTTCACAGGATTCTTCCCCATTTTGTGCGCTCATATTTTAAATGAAATCATGTAAGAACCTTATCTCTATTGGCTTGATCATGCAAGATTTCAACTGTTGTTGCTTCAACAATGCAAAATCCTGATTTTTGCTGCTCAAATCCTGTAGAATCCTGATTTGTGTTGCTCAATTCATGGTAAATTCCTATGTTTTTTCACCAGTTTCCGTTGCGTTTTTTGGCCACCGCAGATCTACAGCAGCCAGCCAATGCAGTTGGCACCGCGGCTCACGACGCGGCTGGTCAACACTTCCCAGGCGCCAGACTGTCATCCTTGCGGCTGGTCATCTTTTTGAGGACTTCAGTGGTTAATAATGGGTTAATAATGGTTAATAATGGTTAATAATGGTTAATGAGATATCCGGTTGGTGGTGTTGAACGTTTAAACCATCAACTGGTTAGGGCCGAAAAATATGGGTTAATGGGACTTAATATATCTTAATGGGACTTAATAGATCTATATACTGGTTGGTGGTGTGGAACATGAATTTTATGACTTTCCATATGTTGGGAATAATAATCCCAACTGACGAACTCCATCATTTTTCAGAGCGGTGGCTCAACCACCAACCACTGTAGTGGTTTGGAAAAACCCTCTGGTAAACGTTTAGAGTTTGCGATGAAAAATCACGATGTTTTTTCTGGGTCAAGATCTTTATCAACTATTTCTATGGGCCATATTTTCAATAGCTATCTTCTTGCTTACCAGAGGGCAAGCAATATGTCATGCCATATATAATTGGCGAGGACTTGCCTTGTGAAATCTGAAGACATTCTCGAAGAACTATTCTATCCCACACCCAAGGTGGAGTCCCTGATGTCGCTGGGTTTAGTTTCACCAGTTCGGTATATCCCCCAACCCAACACTTCAAGTTATGTGCGTCAACTTGGCTTTTTTCGGGGGGGTCCTCACCGGTGTAGGTATAGTTAGATATAGAATAATACATATAATATCCCATAGCATATCCCATTTCCTTTTTGTTAGCCATCATATGTACCATCACATATACCATTATACATACATATATATATATATGTGCACCATTAAACAAAAACATAAGACAGCCCACAAGATTTCCCATAATGATTTCCGATGTTTTCCCATCAAATCTGAAATAATCTAATATCGAATTCAAAGAACTGTGAGCGATTTAGCTCAGCTTTAGCTCACTGG